CTGGCCCTTGCTCTCGTCCCACGGGGCTTGGCCAGGGCCTTCCGACAGGCTGGGGGTTGTGGGATGGGCTCGGAGCACCAGCACCGTGAGACTTGCACTTCCATTCTGCACTGCAGAGACCACTGTAGAGCTCCCCCCATCTTCAGTGGGGCTGCCAGTGATCTGCGTTGGAGCCAGAGCTCCCTCGGGCGCCCCCTTTCTGGGGTTCAGCACAGGTCACACGCAGTTGCGCTCTGGGCGAGAGGAGGCTGCATTGCAGCAGGACTGACCCCCATCTGTCTTTGATTGTGGAATGGCCCTTAGGTCAATGTCCCCCTGGCCAGTACTCAGTGGACGGCTTCATACCCTGCCAGCCGTGTCCCCGGGGCACCTACCAGCCCGAAGCCGGGCGAGCTCTGTGCTTTCCTTGCGGCGGGGGCCTGACCACCAAGCACGAGGGCGCCTTCTCCTTCCAGGACTGTGATACCAAAGGTACGGAGGCACCCGGGGAATAGCCTTGGGATAGCAGTGGTGGGGCAGCTCCGGGGAGGCTGGGGGGCTGAGTTCCCAAAACAGCCTGCTTTATTATCGCTATATCCCCATTGCCCACCCAGTGCCTCTTCGGCTCCCCCGGCCCCATCACAACAGAGACTTGGGTGCTGAGGCAGGAAGTTTTCCTTTTGCAAAGTATAGAGTGGGGGGAAAATCCCACCCTTGTTTCATCCCTTCACCAGCTCTACTCTGATTTCTTGTGTGTCTCCCCATCCCTCCTCCTCCCCTCAGCTCTGAGCTGCCCTTCCCTTTTGGTTTCCCCAGCCTCCCTCTGCATGCCTCCCTCTGCCCTGCACATCCATCCTTCACCGCGATACTCCCCACCCTCCTAGCAGTATCCACTCACTGCCCTGTCCCTTTGGAACTGCTCCCCTTACACTGCTGTCTCCTTGAGAAGTGAGGGGCTTGTCAAGCAACCTTGCACAGTGGCCATACACATCCACCAGCCTTGGCCCAAAATCCACTTGCCTGCCCTTTAAAACATGATGCCAAAGCCGGTGAGAATTGGCTGAATGTTTGCAGGGCTGCTCGGACGCTGCATGGATGCATTTAGTACCCCAGAAGTCCTCTTACAAAGGAACACCCCAGCATTCTCTAGTAAGGGACCCCAACAGTGCCGTGTTACTGTTACAAAGCTATGTGAGGCCTTGGGCCGTTGCTGTATTTATTAGGGTTAGTAACAACAGCGGCGGGGAGTCCTGTGGCACCTTCTAGACTAACTGAAGTGTTGGAACATAAGCTTTCGTGGGCAAAGACCCACTTCGTCAGATGCATGTACAGATTGCAGATTCAGACTAACACGGCTACCCCTCTGATACTAGTAACAACAGTGTAACACTTGGGTAATTATTTTAGGCTAAGCTTTATTACAAGGAAATCTGGTCTGCTGAGTTTGGCCGTTAGCAGCGCATTTCCCATCTTATTTAAGGCTGTGCATTGTGGGATCCTTGGAATTGATGCAGAATCCAGGATTTAGTGACGTCAGTGACAGCGAGAGAGAATAAACACTATAAAAACGTTCGCAGCAGCCTAAATTAACTGCTCCAGGGAGCATTGGAAGTGTTTTCCCAAAGCTCCCAGATGTCACTTAAAAAAGTCTCCTCGCACATAGCTTCAAATGGAGCATGGATCAGAGTTGGGACTCAACTCCTGGTTTCTACTCCCAACTCTGCTACCCACTTGCTGCGTGACCTTGGGCAGGCCATGTAAGTTCTGTGGCCATGTTTCCCCAGCTGTAAAGCAGGGAAAATATCACTTCCCGTCAGGGAGTAGCAGAGCTGGGAATGGGAACCAGGAGGCGGCTGCCCTGATCATTCTGCAAAAGCGATGAGGAGTCCTGTGGCACCTTATAGACTAACAGATTTATTGGAGCGTAAGCTTTCAAAGACCCACTTCATCACATGTATCTGACGAAGTGGGTCTTTGCCCATGAAAGCTTCTGCTCCAATAAATCTGTTAGTCTATAAGGTGCCACAGGACTCCTTGTTCCTTTAGCAGATTCAGACTAACACGGCTACCCCTCTGATACCTGATGGTTGTTGTTTGCTTCATAAAACGTGATTGGCTGAGCTATGAGAGTGCGGCTGTTGGGTGGCTGGGAGTGGCTTGTACCTCCTAGCCCGATCACTGACATTTCCCTCTCCCCTCGGCACAGTTCAGTGTTCCCCGGGTCATTACTACAACACGAGCGTCCACCGCTGCATCCGCTGTGCCGTGGGCACCTACCAGCCCGACTTCCGCCAGAACTACTGCATCACTTGCCCTGGCAACACTACCACGGACTTCGACGGCTCCACGTCCGTGTCCCAGTGTAAAAGTACGCTCTTTGGGCAACCCGGGCACTGTGTTCACAGTCCCTGCCAGCCGCTGGGTTTTCCTGTTGGCGCCTTGGATGACGTCCACCCACAGGGTCCTGTGGGAGTGGCCACCTTCTCTTGCTGTTTCCCCTTATGCACCCCTAATCACGTGCACAGACTGCTGCATCCAACTGTGCATATACAGGCCTCTACCCCCGCCCCACTTCTAGTCTTATGTATGCCCCCTGCACCTGGGCAACTAGTCAGTGCCTATGCATGCTTTGCACGCTGCCCCTGTGCTTGTGCACGCACATGCGCGCAATCCCGTGCACGCATGCATGACGGCAGGTGCATCCTTGGACCCCGAGAGTGGGACTGGTGCACACAGAAGTGGAACGTCCAGGATCGCCTGATCCGATCCCTCTGCCCACAAATCATTGCCTAGCGCCCCCATGTCTGTGACGCTTCTTCTCCCCTCCTCGTTGCCTTGCAGACCGCCAGTGCGGAGGGGAGCTGGGAGAGTACACGGGCTACATCGAGTCTCCCAACTACCCCGGGAACTACCCTGCCAACATCGAGTGCACCTGGAACATCAACCCGCCCCCCAAGCGCAAGATCCTCATTGTGGTCCCCGAGATCTTCCTGCCGTCCGAAGACGAGTGTGGAGACGTCTTGGTCATGCGGAAAAACTGTAGGTAACCGATTGCTGTGACGTGGCCACGCTGGGCAATAGGGTGATACTGTGAGAGGGGCCCCCCCCTTCTCCATCTCCCAGGCTGTCCAGTCTGTGGGCACCTCTGGGAGCAGCAGAGCCCATGTGCAGTCCATTTACCATGGACTGCCTCAGTTTACCCTACACAGCCCAGTCAGGGATCAAGCAGGCGTGTGTGGAGGAGAGGGAGACAGCCCTGCGGGTTAGCGTGATGTGTCTCTAAAGAGCTGCCTTTGTCTCTGGCGTGGTCGCAGGTAGGACGAGTTTGGTGCGCTCAGGAGTGGGGCTCAAGGGGAATGGCTCTACCCCCCCCCAGCTCACTACCTGGTACCGGCTTCCCTGTTAAACCCCACTGCAGAGCTGGGTGCATGCCTATCAAGAAAGGGCCCTGGCTGTGTGGTACCCACCTCACCTGGCCCTGGGCAAGGAGGGGAGGAAACCAGCCTGCTTAGCTGCAGGTTTGGTGCTGCTATGTAACTCCTGAGGTAGTGGGGCTGCCTCTCCATCCAGATGCCTTCCCAGGTTGCCCCGGGGTATGGTGAAGCCATCCTGTATCCTGCGGGAACACTCCCAGCGGTGCTGGGAGCTCTGGAAGCAGCTCCTTGCCAGACCAGTCCCCAGAGATGGTGTTTCCTTATGACAGTGATGCGCAACCTTTTTCCCGGCTCGACCCCCACGAAAACTTTGCTTAAGCAAAAAGAAAAAAAAAAAAAAAAAGCAGCCCCTTTAATTGCTGCTCCACTCGCCAGGGAAAAATGGCTGTTGACACTGCAACACTTCCTTCCCTCCCCCCCCCTCCGAAGACAGCCTTGGAGGTCGTGACCCACTGGTTGCACACCACTGCCTTATGATACTGTTGTGTTATATCAGCTCATGCTGACACCACAGACTCTCCTTCCACTGGATGAAGGGGCCCAGGTCCGTGTTGGCTCAAATTGCAGCAGGGAGGTTTAGGTTGGAGATTAGGAAAAACTTCCTAACAGTCAAGCTGGTTAAACACTGGAATAAGTTGCCGAGGGGAGTTGTGGAATCTCCATCACTGGAGATATTTAAGAGCAGGGTGGATCGACATCTATCAGGGATGATCTAGGTCAGGGCTACTCAATTTTGCAAGCCCCGGGGGCCACAATGATATTCTCAGCACATGCCAAGGGCTGCAACTTAAGTGTGGTTGCATATGCATGCAAATAGATTCTTTCACACTGACGGGCATGAATACAAGGATTAAGGCAAGACTACACAACACGCAGGCCCCATTTAAGTCAGTTCTGCTGATATTAATACAATGCAATATTGACCCAATTTCCACCCATATGACAGCACTTTTAATGAGCAATGGCAGTCCAGGAATCTAACTACTAAAACACATCTCAACAGAACACCATTTATTAACTACTTTTTTGTTTTGGCTCTCACCCGCGGGCTGCATGTTGAGCCCTGTGTAAATCCAAACCGCACCCTGGGCCACAAACAAACGGGCCGTGTGTTGAGTAGCCCTGATCTAGATGGTGCTTGGTCCTGCCGTGAGGGCAGGGGACTGGACTCGATGACCTCACGAGCCCCCTTCCAGTTCTAGGATTCTATGTTTGCAAAGATGGCCAAGGAATAAACTGAACTCCGTAGTGCTCAACACCTTGAACCTCGGGCCCCTGAGTGACCAACTCTGGCCACCCGCAGCCTGGTCCCCCTCTGAAAATATTGCATTCTGCTGCCTCAGTGTCCCCACTGGATGGCCCATGGAGTAAGCAGTAGAACCAAAGTCCTACAGACAGCCTCAGTCCATGGATCTGCTGTTGCCATTACACACACCTTCAGCTAGGAGAGCCCCGCCTGAAATATTGAACTAAAAAGATGTCTGGTGCTGGGTGTTTATATGGCTGAATGATTCCAGGCAGCACCTGGTCCTGTGCTGTTCCCCTCTGCAGCCTCTCCCTCCTCCATCACCACCTATGAGACGTGCCAGACGTACGAGCGGCCCATAGCTTTCACTGCCAGGTCCCGCAAGCTGTGGATCAACTTCAAAACCAGTGAGGCCAACAGTGCCAGGGGCTTCCAGATCCCCTACGTCACCTATGACGGTAAGTGGAGGAGCACAGGCCAGGGGCACATGGGAATGCTCAGCACTCAGGGCACCAGAGCTGACCCCAGGACTTAATGTCCTGCCTCCAAAGGCTTTCCTGGCCTCAGAGTTGCCTCAACCCTGCCATGCACATACCTGGGGCATTCTGAACTCTTGCCTGATCTATTAGTTGCTTGCAATACTGGAATTGATGTGAGTGGTAACATCTGTGTTGTGGGGAACCTCCCCAGCTCCTGCTCCAGGCATGTGGGAGACAGAAGTAATGTGCAAAGCAAAGCAATCCAGCTTATGGCACAGTACAGTGTAGTTGCTTTCTGGAGCCCAGAATTTCACGCATACAATGACATCCTGTTGCCGAGTTAGCTGAGTGTTCGTGCCACCTGCTTTTCCCATGACTGCTTCTCTCGCTTGCCTTGCAGAGGATTATGAACAGCTGGTAGAGGATATCGTCCGGGATGGCAGGCTGTACGCCTCGGAAAACCATCAGGAAATATTAAAGGTGAGACCCTCCATGGGTGTTCCTTTAACCCTATGACATCAGAGAGCTCTGTTCCCCTATCCCCTTATCTTGGCCTCTGGGGATAGAACAAGAAGCAATGGGCTTAAACTGCAGCAAGGGAGGTTTAGGTTGGACATTAGGAAAAAGTTCCTAACTGTCAGGGTGGTTAAACAAGGGAATAAATTGCCCAGGGAGGTTGTGGAATCCCCATCTCTGGAGATATTTAAGAGTAGGTTAGATCAATGTCTATCAGGGATGGTCTAGACAGTATTTGGTCCTGCCGTGAGGGCAGGGGACTGGACTCGATGACCTCTCGAGGTCCCTTCCAGTCCTAGTATTCTATGATTCTAGCCAGGGAGGAAATGGCGTCTAGGGGTTAGAGAATGGAATTCAGAATTGAGACTCTTGGGTTCTTTTCCCAACTCTACCACTAACTTTCCAGATGAATTGCTTCCTTTCTGTGCTACCAGTCTATATAGTGGGTACTCTTCCTGGCACTGTCCTGACATGTGTAACGCACTCCCAACATTCACAGGTGTGTCCTGGGAACCAAAATAAGGAGCCCAGGATTAGATTTAATCTACTGAAGTACAATGGCTTACGTAGTGGGACTGTAATTCACTGCATGCCCAGAAGCCTGCCTAGTTCTGCATATAGTCCTTAGCCTCTTGCTTGTTGCTTTTCTATGGAGCTGCTTGCTTGCATTGTGCATATCTTATTAGCACTGACTGAAGCAGCCTTGTCTAGTAGCTAGAGCAAGGGGCTCTGAGTTCCTGTTTCAACTCTGGGCCTCAGTTTCCCCATCTGTAAAGTCAAGCACTTGTGCTCGTTGGATCCATGCAATAAAAACACAAAGGCAGCTCACTTTTTTAAACCAGCCATCCACATCCATTGTGCTTTAATTCTGGGTACCATCTTTTACCTGGAAGTGATGTGACTGGCTTGCTTTCCTTGCAGGACAAGAAGTTGATGAAGGCTTTCTTCGACGTGCTGGCTCATCCACAGAACTACTTCAAGTACACGGAGAAACACAAGGAGATGTTACCACGCTCTTTCATCAAACTCCTCCGCTCCAAAGTCTCCAGCTTTCTCAGGCCTTACAAATAGCCCCCAGGCATTTCCACCCGCCTCATGGGCCACCCTCCAGCCAAGGAAACTTTTTTTTTGCTCTTATTTGATGGTTTGGGTTTTTTTTCCTAAACAGCTTTTTAAACAAACCGAATTCCCATCTCTCACTATGCAGACGACTTTCAACGATTTTTCCTTGGCTTTCTTCAAACTCATCTCAGCGCTGACTTTGTCTCCAGCAGGGGTGGTCTAGAATCTCAAGGCATCCCATTCTCTGTTGTTTTGCTACAGAGGTGCAGCCCATAGAGATTACCGGTCCCAGAGAGTGATGCTCCTTCTCAGCCCAAATGGCCTCTACATGCAGAGATAACTGCGACCTGCTCTGTTTTGTAGAACTTAAGGGCAGGCACTCTGGTTGCCCTGTGACCCTTTGGATGGCCCTTGATTTCTACACTTCTGTGTGCAAATCTGTCTCCGTTCCTAGGCGCCATAATCACACCTGCAGTCATCTGCACTCCTGGGATAGAGTTGGTAATTTTAGTCCCACAGTGGGGTTTTCTCCAACGCAAAGGAAAGTAGCTGCAGCCAGATCGGGCTGCATCTCCAAGAATGGAGAGCAGAGGAAGCCGGAATGTGGAAGGTAATGCCTTATTTATCGCAGGGTTGTGGTTTAAAAAAAAAAAAATACCAACGCAGCTTTGCAGGGGGGATTGGGAAAAAAATACATTTAAAAAATATATTTAAAAATAAAAAAGACAGAGCTGAAAAGCGTCACAGCAAACGGCGGTTCCAGTGGGCAGGAGATCTGTATGACTCCAGGGAGCTGGGTTGGTCTTGCTGCATTTGAAGAAAGCATGACCAAGCCACGTTCTTGTAGAACAATGTCTGGATGAATGGGAGGAAAAAGGTAATTAACGAGAAGCCTTTCAAATGGATTCATTTTCCCCCCATGGACACTCGTGCCAAGACACCAGACTCTTACAAGCTCTGCCAAAGAGTAACTCGTCAACAGAAGAGCAAATGATGTGAAGAGCAGGAGTAAATGTTTGTGCACTAGGATATCGTCCTTTCTACCTTTTTCATATGTATTAAGTGCAATCATTTGAGTCTTCTTTATATTATTTAGAGGGAAGTTTTTTCTACTAGAAACTACAATATTTATACCTTCCTGAGAAATGAGAATGTGTGTTTGTAACGCAAAAGCAAACCAAGTGACCTGGTGACCTGACATGATGATGTTTTCAGACTTTGGAAGCTTTTCTTCTGGTATTTGTCCCTTAGAAGGCAAATCCACTTAAATTTCCTTTCACTGAAGCTTTTATTCCCTCCCTGCCCCCATCAGCTGAATCTTTGCTCGGTGACTGGAAAGCACATCATCTTTTCCCATCTACAAGTACCTCCCGTGTGGTCAGTTTGTGCTAGGTCTCGGCTCACACATGCAGTTACCAGTCACACCCTTTCGCTCTGCAGCATGAATTCTAGGACTCAAAATGCTACTCGAAAGGCTCTCAAACTTCAGATCCTCTCCATAACCCTCTGTAGCACTGTGGCTGATCTTGTCGTTGGTAGGTCTCCAGGCATAAACAGCCTGAGTCTCCTCTCGATCACCTGTGTAAATCAGAAATAACTCCATTGAAGTTATGTCAACATACAAACAGCCGGAGGGGAGGAATGAGGTTCCAAACACAGATCACAACCCCAGAATAGATCAGATTCTGTCCACTAGACAAGTGCACCGTGATGATAAGACATGGAAGCTAAGTTGTTCAATGGAGATTTCTTTCACGCTCGTTGGCTTTTGTGTCTCAGCTCATTACTAACTTAGTTTGGTTTGTAAGTGCTGATCTCTGCAGACTGAGATGTTGTCTCCTTTGTACAAGTGTTGGTTTAGATTTTCACAAAGACACCAGCTCGTCGGTTTGTCTCTCCAAGAGTTGGAGAAAGCGGAGCTGAATATTGGGCCTGAACCTAAAGGCAAGATTCCCGTTGACTTTTGCAGGAGTTCTGTGTCAATTAGGAATTGCAGAATGAGGTGCAGAGAAATTTAGGGCCACCCTGGCCATGCTCCCACGACTGCCCAACGTTTCTTAGGGCAATGCTTTATTAAACAGCTTGGAGAACAAAATGGCCAAAGCTCCATCAGACCCTTAGTTAATTCAGCCTTGAAAAGCCACCATACCAGTATGAAGATTTGGGGGAGATGAACAAGTCCCCATTGGCAGCTCTCCTCCTTTCCCCGGGTCTCAGGATTGCAACCTAGAGGCGATATCTGACTCTGTGCTCTCCCTTGCTCCTGGCACCTAGCCCATTTGCCATTCTGTCCTCTTCAGCCTAGGAGCTATACCAGATCTCTGGAGGGGCTTCATTATAGCCCTCCTCTGGCCTTCCATGGCTGCTTGCCACGCCATGCAAAATACGGCCACTCAACAACTCTTCCATACGGATCACACACCTGGCTGGATCTCCATTCATAATCAGACCATCAGTGTCCAAGGTGTTGCCTAGCTCTGCCTCTCCCATCTCCTCCTCCCATGTCTGGCTTCATGTTCTCCCAACCTCTCACTCCACCACCATTCCCGCCCATGTTGTCAGCCTCCACCACACTCACCTTTGTGCCTTCTGCTGGGCAGTCCTCTCTGCCTGGTGACTATATCCTGGCCACACCAAAATTTATTTTAGAGACCCACGTTTGCCATTTGGTAAATCTGGTTGACTTGTGTACAGGTTTCCTATTTGGTGCACCACTTTGCAGAGTATCTGTTCCCCTCAGGGCAGGGACAGTCCCTTCTAAAATACCCAGAAAACGCATAGCCCTTTGGAGGCACCACAATTATTTATTATATAATACACAGTTAGTGGCTAGAAGGGGCAAGGAGCTGGGTTATCTCAAGGAGATAGCCGCTTACAGCCCATATTGTCTGGCTATATGGCTTTATTCTAGTGCTTCCTGCAGGCGCTCAGTCTCTGTATTGTATTACCCCACTGCTGGGATTAGCACTAGCTCAATTCTGTCCCCTTTGGTCTGACTGCATGTCTCATAAGGGGGTTGCACTTATTCATGCTATCTGCATATTGGGCCCTCCAAGGGTGAGTCCTGGACACGTGGACTGAGAGACCTGCCCCTTCAGATGTGTGCTGCAGGCACAAGATCTATTTTGGGGGTTCAGCGTGCTTGCAGCAATGATAACATGCAGCTGATTAAAGGGAGCCAATCAAGCCTAAAGGCCAGATTTCAGGCATGATTTAAATCCCCAAACATGATGTACATAGTGTTCTTTAAAACCAGGGAGCCTCTTATATTTCAAAGTAGGACTGCAGCACTACACCAGTACTGGCAGTACCCACTGTGACATCACCCAGTCTGGCTTCACTAGCCCTATAAAGGGAAAACCAGTTTCAGGTGACACATTGTTTAGGCTCATTAGACAAGACTGATAAGAGTGACCTGTGATCCTGGGTGACTTATGGGATGCATTAAAAGTGCCGATTCTCCATGCAGAATACCCTCCCTCTGAAAACCAGGCTTCGAAGTGACAAGTTGAGCCCTGATAAATCACTGGCATTTCTGAAATTCTTGGGCCTTTTAATTTAAGGTCCTGATCCTGCAACCATAGTGCCAGTCCTTTGAGAGCAGTCTCATTGCAGTCTACAGCCTTGCTCCTGCAATGATCATCAGGGCTCAACAAACTGCAGCGAGAGCTACTCGCCAGCCTTGCAGCGCTCATGCGCCAGACCGGCACTGCACGCATGAATGGGGCACACGGAGCAACCGGCTGAGATCTACTCATCACGGGTGAGTAGAAACAGCGGTTTGTCGAGCCCTGACGATCATAATATATGCTTTGGTGACTAGCCTTCAATGGATCTGTTTACTGGTAAGCTATAGACTTGCAGTATTTGTAGGCATGGATTGGTTGAAGGTTCAGTCCCATACAGCTGTTGATTACTATCACACATAGCTATTTCCTCAATTTCCATTCTTCTATGCTAACTACTGTCACTTATTTCCCATGGGCAATAAATGTATTTATTTGCATTATGCAGCCAGCTGTTAAAATGGGCAGAAAAATAATTTTGGAGGCCTGATTTATGGCATGTCACTGACTCATGTTCCCTTCAGTGAACCCTTCTGGGGATTATGAAGATCTTACCAGATGCTCTGTACACCACTGAACCCTGCTTCAGTTTGTTGTGCTACACCTGGCCTTGCACCATCTTTTCAAATAGAAAAGATTTGAAAGGCTGAAAACTCAATCACCCACTTTGAGGAACTGAATGTTTCAATTGCAGTGAACGTAAGGGTTGGTTTAAAAAAATTGCAAATTTATATCTGCCTTTTGCAGTGGGCCACAATTTAGCATCTCCCACAAAATGATTAAGTGATGAACAAAAGATGTAGTTCATAAAGTTATTTGCACTTGATTAAAAAACTTGTATCTGAACTTTGTAAAAAGAAATGTTTGCATTTTGTATTGTCTTTTTAATTATTAAATTGAATTTCTTGGTGTTGTGCTGATCTTTTAGAAATTGGTTCTACTACTTATTTAAGATTTCTAATCAGTGAAAACTGAGATTGCTTTATTTCAGAAATTCTAACACCTAAATTCCAGTGGCTTTCAGTCAGACCAAAGCACCAATAACAGCAAACATGCCTGTAACTTTATCTCCACGAGGAGCTGCACTGAAACCAGAAGTAATTCTTCCACTCTTCTGTGCTGATCAAGCCTCAACTGAAGTACTACATCCAGTTTTGGGCCCCTCATTTCAGGAAAGATGTGAAGAAATTGGCAGTCCAGAGAAGAACGACAAAAATGATTAAAGGTCTAGAAAACCTGACTTATGGGGGAAGACAAAGAATGGGGTTTATTGAGTCTGGAAAAGACAAGACAGAAGGGCTATAACAACAGCTTTCAAGTTTCTAAGATTGTTACAAAGGAAAAAAAATATCTTCCTTAACACCTCTGAGGCCAGAACAAGAAACAATGGACTAGAATTGCAGGAAGGGATACTTGGATTGGACATTAGTTCAGTTAACCACTGAAATAAACTGGCTAAGGAGGTTGTGGAATCTTCATCATTGGAGATTTTAAGAGCAGATTAGGTAAGACCTGTCAGGGATGTTCTACATACATGGTTCTTGGTCCTGCCACAAGTGCAAGGGACTGGATGACCCGTTGAGATTCTTTCCAATCCTACAATTCCTATAACATTCTTCAGCCCACTATCACCTCATTTCCCAACTTTTAACCCCCTCTCCAAAAGTCCTCAAAGCCTTAAGTCTTAGCCAGCTTAAACTTTCCTAAGGTGGAAAGAAGTCCTATAACCAGCAGCTGTGCATAGGGGCCTACCACCAGGAAGTTAGAACAAGGTGGCGATCCAGCGGGCTCTTGTTAACCATTAGTGTTTGCAGAGGCTTCTGGGAGTCATCTGGGGCCTATAAAAATGAGGTGTAGCTTGATGCAGGGAGTTCATTTCAGGAAGGCTATGCTGCTGAAGGGAAAGAAAGCTGGAACTGCAGAGCCCAGCAGTAGTACTACTAAACAGGCCAGACCCTGGGAAAGGCACTTAATTAGGGCACTGATGTTTTCTGCATTTATTGTCACAGGTGTTGGCAAACTGGCTGCTTTTGGGCCTCTTTTCATTGTAAAGGAACAATTATAACTTGCTGTATCAATACAGCCATTAAAGAGCCATTTGAAATCTAATGACTAGTTTTACAAAAACCAGGTATTTAAATAGCTGAATGTAACCTTACCTCCCCCCATTGGGTTGAAAGGGAAAATAAGCTAATTCTGTTTGTGAGCATCTAAGTAAAAGACAAGCTGAAATCTAACATCCCACCAAACAAGAGACAGCAGCGAGGTGATCTGGAACCATTTATTACTGCCAATCTAGTAGAGGCGCTGTGGCTTGCCCATGGTGCTCTTGATGTACAACGCACGCACATTCTGCCAGTTCTTCTTCAGCAAGGACACCAGGAAGTTGATGGCCAGATGAATGTTGTAGACTAGCTCATCCTCAGTCATTTTCACATGGCCAACAGCCACAGCCAGACAGAGCACCTGGGGACACAAAGCTGTGTCATAACTGTGGCAGGGAACTGCCTTGACTGGAAAGGGACATGTCTTAAAAATCAGGTCATAACTTAGAGTGCAGAGTCCTGAAGTCTATTTGGCCATTTTACAGACCAACCCTCACTAGCTTAAACAGCCATCAAAAACTTTTTGCAGGCAATTAACATAACATTAACTTTGCTTTGGAATGCCTCTCTGGGGCTGAGTTTAAAACTGTTTTTAAATGAATCACAATCCCATGTGATTTAAAATTCCCCAGTTCTTCAGTGACCTGTAAATCCTACTGTAGAAATTCCAAATAACTTTTGTAAATGCTTCATATTTGAAGGACCCAGTAAATAAGATATGTAAATTCAAACTTCAGTTTAATAACGATGTTTCAACATCTAAAAAACTACTCTTCCAATTTACATATCAGTATCTAGAAAGCTTATGAGTGCAGGTTAAGTTTGCCAACTGGTTTCCACGGTGTTTTTCAAACGATGGGTCACAACCCAGTACTGGATTGTTGCTGCAGGGTGACCAGTGGGGATGCGAAGGCAGGCTACCTGCCTGTCCTGCATTGCAGACTGCACTGTATACAGAAGCTGCTGGCAGCAGGCACAGCTCCCAGGTGAAGGGAGAGTGCACAGGGCTTTGTGTACTGCCCCTACCCCGAGCACTAGCCCCATACTCCCACTGGCTCATCTACCCATACCACCTGCTTAAATTTTGCATCTTGTGTAAAAGAACAGCGACAGATCAGCATTAAAGAATGAGCTCAGTCACCTAAGAGGAAGACACATTCAAAATATGACCTGGTATGCTTACCAGTTAACTGACCCTTGCCAAAGCAGTCCCAGCGGCAGAGGGACCAGTGGGCCAGTGGCAAGACCCCAAGATCCCAGTGGGCCCATGTTAAATGAGCTAGGGTTTAACAGGTTAACTGTTTTCATCCCTACTGGACCACATTTAGCAGAGCACTTTAAAGTGTGTGTAAGCCTTAGAAACAGCCTCATTAACTGGATTAATGTATCAAATTTAAACCATTATGGTCCCCAACAGACGGTTAATGTAAATTTGAATTTAGGGCTATTTTGATCTAAAGCATGATTCTGCTCCCTATAGTGAACTTTCTTCGAAGTCAGAGACAGGACAAGACTGCAGATTAATTTCTTACACATCCTCATGTCCCAAGCTTACAAAGCATTGACCTGTATTGGTAGAATCCTGTTCTAATTCCTGGCTAACGAACTGGGCTACATGCCTGCAATGCCAGGAGCTTATATTGGGTGCACATCTCCTCCTGCAAGATGTCAAATGATCTTAACTCCCACACACTTCAGTGAGCACTGAGGGCATTCAGCATTCTGGAATATCAGGCTCTCATCCAGTTTTTCCTCTTTTTAAAAAGTTTCGATTACTGACAAGTTACATTCTCCCCTCACATCAGAAGATGAATGCTCTAGTTATATTCCCTGAATGCACAGAAGTTGACTGACTGGATATTCATAAAACACTAGAACTGGAAGGGACCTTGAGAGGTCATTGAGTCCAGTCCCCTGCCCTTATGGCAGGAGGACAAAGCGCCCATCTAGATCAGTGTTTCTCAACCAGTGGTACGAGTACCCTTGGGAGTACTTGAGAGAAGTCTGGGGGGGGGACGTCAACAACTGAAATTTGGAGAAAACTGAATTTTTGTTTTAAGTTTAATAGCGCTTTATCATTTTTGTACTTTTTACATTCAAAAATTTCATCTCCCACCTGACTATGATCAACTTGTTTAAACAAATGTGTTGCAATGGTAGAAAAAAAATTGTGTCTGAAAACTGTAGGTACTGGGGGTACTTTTTTTTTTAAAGGGGGTACTTTTCATAAAAAGGTCGAGAAACACCGGTCTAGATCATTAGCTTTATCAATATTCCTAAGAAAAGCTGATGGATACCTGCAGTTCAGCCCTGGAAAGTAGAAATCCACATGGCATGGGAGGCAGCCAGTTACTTCATTAAATCCCATCCCCCACAAGCCACATAACTGGCTTCTCAGGTTGGAGTTTGGGGGGGGGGGGGTAGGTTTACCTTCTTCATTTGAAATTTGATGGTAGACTTGACCTCATCAATCTTGGCCACCATGTTCTCATTGTGGGTAAGAAGGGAGGGGAACTTGCCAGCTTTGTTCAGACCTGGACCCAGGATACGAGGAATCTGTTTGATCAGGGACTCAGAAGCCAGGAAGGCGTCATACTTCTTAGCTATGGGAAAAGATTAATGCATGGTTGTAATTCTTCCCCTCTCGATTCAAGGCTTGATTCCCTCCCCAATTAGCAGCAGTTTCTTTAAGAGCAATCACACCAAAGGCCCTTTTTTGTATTTACAGAATCTTCAGACTCTAGAATAAGGTCACAAGGTAAGCCTAGCCTATATTAGGGCTTTTGCCAGTGTGCATGTTGGAATGTGATGTTATGTATGATTTAATACCAAATGACCTAGTATAAATGCAATTATACTAGAAAAAAGTGATTTTGCCAGAACAGCTTCATTTGCTCAGGGAGCTGGCATGAAACACCTTTTTGCCAGCAGAAGCTGGATAAGCCAGTAACTGTACAATCACAGTTTACTATTGATCTGGCATATCAGAGAGGTAGGCGTCTTAGCCTATATGCAAAAGCACATCTGCTTTTTACCAGATGTGCTTTTTAGCACATCTGACCAAGTAGCTTTTTGCCAAAATAAATCTGTTAGGACTGACTGAATGTGATCCGCAACACCTGGGAGTAAATCAGACCCTTCCCTGTAACTACGTAAGTGTGACCCTGATAAAGAAAGTGAGGCTGAATCAATCAGAAAGGAATATGCTGTTACAGCAGAGCAGACACCAAGTTGTTGTGGGCACTGATTTCGACTAATAGCACAAAACCCAAGTGTAGTCTGACTAGTGACTAAAATCTGCACCCGATACTAAAATCCCCAACATAGGTAAGGTCAAACAAGACGAAGAGATGCTCAGGCAAACCACCATACTTCAGAACTAGGTTGCCCTGTCACTTTTAACCAACTTCTCCCAAACTAGGCAGTGAGCAGGAGCCTGGCTGCTGGGGGAACTCCACACTGGTCACATTTGGAGTAACTCCCCCCCCCAAGAGATGTTAGTTACAGGGATACTGGCAGCTCTAGTCCTTCACAGTGCCACTCACCCAGCTTTTTCACTAGCTTCTTGTTCTTGTTGAGTTTCTTCAGAGCTTCAATATCCATGTGAGGGATGTCAACTGCTTTGGCCTCATCACAGTGTTGCTGGTCCCCCAGCACACAGACTGAGAATTTAGGGCGTGGGGTGGACTTGAGCCTGTCAGGAAGGGAAGATGACACCGCATGCTGTCACTACACACTGCCAGCACCACACACCTTGAGGGGGCATGCACAGCCATGATCATGAGATCTTACCACAGTCACCAGCGATTCTTCATCCACCAGCCTCTAATCTGGCTTCTCCTATTGGTCGGTGGGATCAGCACAGGAGCCTCACCACACCTCCCCTCATGTTTTAAGACCCAGGGTAGGGGTCCGTCCAGCCACACCCATGCGGTGATTTGGGGGGTCTGAACTACCCGGGCAGTTCAGCATTGCACCCTCCTGCCACTGTATCAAGCAGTCAATGTGCTGCTCATCACATGGGCATTCAAGTGCCCAGAGGGAGTGGGGTGCAAGCTGAAGGCTGGGTGGGATCAGAAAGTTGCCGAACCTGACGGTGCCAGAGAAACGCTTGTCCTTCTGCGGATCATAGTTTTTCAGACTAATCTGCAACTCCACAGTTTCCACAAACCTGAAGAATGGAAAAAGAAACAGGCCATGTGAGAATTTAAGAAGCCAGTAAAACAAGATGAACATCAGCAGGGCTTGACAAACCACGGCAAAATCCACTCGCCAGCCCCGTATCGCGCATGCGCGGACCGCCGGTGAACGGGGCGACCGGCTGAAATCTACTCACCACGGGCGAGTAGATAAATGGATTTGTTGAGCCCTGAACATCATTACAAGAAAAGCTGTAATGACATCTAATAGAGCAGGGATACTCTGCCACAACCCCCCCTTTTTTTCACCAGGGAAAAGACCCTAGCCACAGCACAAAAGGAGAGCTCTTACTTGCGTGGTTTCGCTTGAGTCCCTTGCAATACCTCCCTCACTGCTTCATACAGGGTGTCACGGGAAACTTTGCTGCTGTGAATTTGAAAGACACAAAGAGCAGGTCAGGCACTTGAAAGGAATTCCCCACTTTGGACAGAATGCAGATGCAGCATCCCACCTAAAACTACCTTTATAATTCTGCCTACAAGGGTAGCTGGTTAGTGTGCTAAGTAGTAATAGAGATGTAGCCGTGTTAGTCTGGTCTTGCTGAAACAAGAGACAGGACTATGCAGCACTTTAAAGACTAACAAGATGGTTTATTAGGCGATGAGCTTTCGTGGGCCAGACCCACTTCCTCAGATCAAATTGTGGAAGAAAATTGGCATGACCATATATACCAAAGGGTATATATATGGTCATTTATGACATATATGGTCATGCCAATTTTCTTCCACAATTTGATCTGAGGAAGTGGGTCTGGCCCACGAAAGCTCATCACCTAATAAACCATCTTGTTAAGTCTTTAAAGTGCTACATAGCCCTCTCTTCAGTTAGTGTGCAGCATTCTGGGGCAATGAAAGAGTTGCCTGAAGTGATGAGTACTCAAT